GAGGGAGGAAGAGGAGGAGGAAGAGGTACTGTGACCCCAGGGGAGGTGGAGGAAGAGGACGGGGCTCTGTGACCCGGGGAGGCTCCGCAGGGAGGGCACCAGGGCACCAGTGGAGAGAAGGTGCCGAGAGCTATCCATCGAGAAGCCAAAGCAGATCCTATGACTCCAGCGTTCCAGGCTCTAGGGCCAGTGAGGAGGTTGGAGGAAGGAGGCCAAGGCTGGCCCTGAGCCAGAGCGGGCCCGGAGGACAGAGGCGAATGCGGGTGTGCTCTGATCATGTGAGGGGATGGACCTGCATGGCTCTAGAAATAAGCGAGTCACAAGTTGCTAGACTCTGGGTTGGAGGGCATCAAGTGCAGATGTGACTTCCCATGAGAAGAAACAGGATATGGGGGTGGAGTTGGAGACCAGGGGACAAAGGCAGATCTCCGGGATGGGGGGATTGGAAGAACACGGGATCCCGGCTAGTCTTTTTACAGACCTGGGCGCGGCCTTCTCCTGTCTAGGTGCTTTTCCCTCACTGGTATGTGGGAACCGGGCACCCAGCCTGAGTCAGGCACCGTCTGGTGTGCCCATGGGTCAGGAGAAGCCCGCGAGAGCGGGATCACGTGCCCTTCCCGCCATGCCCGAGTCAGAAACTGGCAGCCCCGAAGGCCAGGAGCACAGTCCTCACCCCATCCCCAGGAAGTGCCCGCCAGGGAGCAGCTGGCCGAGGACAACTTTGAGAATTAATTCTTCACTGTGGCCTAGAACCACCACAGAGGAGCCTCCGCCAGACACTGGCAAGCCCCAGCACTGCCACTTTACCCTCAACACAGGCATCCTGCACAGCCTATCCACTAAAGCGGGAGAGTTATGCTGCAGTAAGAGCCATCTGGAGACCCACAGGGCCTACCAGCCCTGCCTGTGCACACCCTTGCAGAAAGGACAGAGCAGGAGCGCCACGACTCCCTCTGGCAGGGGTCCCAGTCCTGCTCAGTACATTCTCATCAACACACAGCTTAGTTTACACACATGCTCATAAACACATGCACATACATGCGTGTATAGTTCACATGTGCTTGATGCACACACAATTATGAACACAAGATCATGCATACAATGGGCCCACAATGCATAGACACACATGTACTCAGCAACACACACACAACATCACAGATGCACTCAGCACATCAGCACACACATTTGTGAACACACATGTATTCACTACACACACATGCCCAGGCATACATGTACTCAGTACACATAGCACAATGCACTCAGCACACGTACAACAGCACACATGCACTCATTCATGCAATGCATTATCAGACATGTACTCAGCACACACACACATGAACACACATGTGCTCGCTATGTGCATACACATGGACACATGTACTCGGTACACACACCAGCACAATGTAGTCCACACACATGCATGAGCACACATGCACTAACTACATGCACATTCATGGACATACATGTTCTCAGTACATGCATGTGCATGGACACACAGGTACCCAGTGTGCACAGGCACACATGTATGCAGTATACACATCAAATACGTATATATGTAATGCGGATGCACATATATGTACTCAGTACATGCATGGGCTTGCATGTACTCAGTATACATGTTGACACAGCTGTGCTCAGTACACACATGTGGACACACACATGTGCTTAGTTCATGCCCGTGCCAGAGGCACAGCTTACCCCTGCTGCCAGGAACTCCCTGGTTCCCGCCACAGGCAGCTAAGACTTTACCTCTGCCAGCAGGAGTCTAATGCCAACAGGGTGCCTGTTAACCGGCCCACCCAGCCAGCCCCAAGCCAAGCACAGGCCTGGAAGCTAAGCCCGAGTGGTCCATGTCTCCCAAGAGGAGTCTGAGGGTAACTGGCCACAGGCCTGGGAGGAAAACTCACCGCAGTGCCATTGTTGTCCCGGAAGACATCCTGGTTGAAGTAGTCAAAGAGCTTCTTTTCCAACTGGAGCACGACCTGCCAAGTCAGAGAGGCCTCAGTGCTGAGGGAGTGGAGGTGCCCATGTGCCCCGAGCCCTTGCTCCCCAGGCCAGGAACGGCCAGTGGCTGTCCTGTGTCAGGAGCCCCAGCCACAAGCCACTCACCTTCCGGTCATTGTCTGACTCCCGAAATATTAACTTCACAACTTCATTGGTGTCGGCAGCCCGGACTGTCTGCATCGTGGCTTTTGTGCAGAGTGTCTGGAAAGACAGGGAGGGACTCAGTGCTCCTGTGCCCTGTGCCGGGGCCGCCTGACACGGAAATCCGTGTTTCATGCACCTTCAGCTGGGGAGCACGCGCAGCAAAGCCGCCGCTCCTGCGTGGGCAGTGGGTGGCAGCTGTGCCAGCCCGGGCTGAGTAGAGCAGCCCACAGAACACAGGCAGCCTGCCTTGTGCTCTGCATTCCTACTCAAAAGCAAGGGAAGGAGCCACGGGGCCGGCACCCCGCGCGTGCAGAGCACTGTGCGGGCCGCACCGGGCCTCCAGGAGCTGTCAGCTCGGACAAGTGTAAACGGTGGCGCGGGCTGGTCTGGGATGATGGTCTGAGCAGGTACATTTTGCCTACAGCAGATGCCCCCTGGGGGAAAACCGAGGCCTGGGGGAGACAGATGCCCAGGGTGCGGGGAGATAAAGCCTCCTCGCCGGGCACGGCTGGATGAGGAGAGCCACCACCTCCGCAGGCCACACATCTCACAACCACACGCGCCTGGGCAGAGAGCCCGACAAGGCAGGGCCGAGGCACCCGGGCTGGGGTGGTGTGGGAAGGTACGGTGGAGGAGGGCCTGGAAAACTTCCTCAGTAACAGTCCACAGCCCAATTATGTTTTGTGTGTAAAATATATCTCAAAACCTATTTGAAAAAGAGAATATATGAATTTTACTTTTAAAAAGCACATGGCTGCCAGGTGGCCCTGCCGGGACGGGCTGCCTCCGCTGTCCTGTCCCAGAGAGCCAGCTACGCACAGCACCCCAGCCAAGGCCCACCATGCCCAGAGCCACCCTAGGACAGGTCGTCCACACTCAGGGCACAGGTCAGCTAGCCAGCCAAGCCCCTGAAGTGGCTTTTGGACTCCTGTGTCACAAATCAGTCTGGCTGCAGGGGATTAAGACAAGTATCCAAACAACCAGCCACTCTGCCTACTGGATCCCAGAAGGGTGCGAATACGCTTAAGGGGCTTAAGCCTCTTTCTATGAATGGGAGGGAGGGGGAGATGGGCAGGCTGGGGGCCAGAGGCCATTGTGGCCATGGAAGGCAGAGGTTCAGGAAATCCTCCGTTCTGTTTCCTGAAGGCATCTGCTGAAACGCTGGCAAAAACTGCTTTATTTCAGCACTCAGGCAGTGCCCAAGTGACAGACATCTGAAGATTTCTTGGCCCGCCCCCTTCTCCCACACCCTCCCACACAGCTACCCCATTCACAGGCTGTAAAGAAGTAATCAGGGGCTGGGCCAGCAAAGCTGCCTTCCAATTCAGAGAAGCCATCCCCACTCATGCAGAAAGCAGCCGGCCTGCCTTCCCGGCTCAACTGCGGTGGAAGGGATTTTGCTCTTTTGAAAAGAGGAGAAATACCCCAACTGCTATTTTGAAAAAGCCACCTAGGGTTCACTTCATTGCCAGTGCCTGCAGCAAAGGCTGCTGGAAAGGGTGACCCAGCCCAGGCCTGGCTGGCCCTTGACGGCCCTTCTTCCCCAGGAATTTGCCGGGACGCACCCTAAGGTGTGCAGCACGGAATCCCTGCTTCTGTCCTGCTGGTCCGTGTCCACACTCGCTCCTGTCCTGGTGTCACCAGCCCAGGGCACTGGTGATAGTGGGAGACAGCTGTTTCTGAGCTACTGAATCACACAACTATATAGCTCATTAGATTTGCGCAAAGCCCGTGATGATCAGAGGCTCTGATATGCATGAGTACAGGGCCACACATTGCAGGAACCAAACCATTCTCTGAGTTCAAGACTCTATTAATGGGGCCAACAGCTTGTTGACCTAATAACCCAAGTCTTCCCAGTGCAACGTTCAACAGCCTGTTTAGAAAAACAGAAATAAAGCTGTGCTGCCATGCAGGTGGGTCTGCAAGGACAGCAACAGCCAGGCTCCGCTGAGACCTCCAGACAGGAGCCAGCGCCCCCCCCGCCAGGCTCTTCCACATGCCCGTTTTACCAGGCTCCGCTGAGACCTCCAGACAGGAGCCAGCGCCCCCCCCGCCAGGCTCTTCCACATGCCCGTTTTACCAGGCTCCGCTGAGACCTCCAGACAGGAGCCAGCGCCCCCCCCGCCAGGCTCTTCCACATGCCCGTTTTACCAGGCTCCGCTGAGACCTCCAGACAGGAGCCAGCGCGCCCCCCGCCAGGCTCTTCCACATGCCCGTTTTACCCGGAAGGAGAGGGTGTAGTTGTCCTGGGAACACTGGGCCCAGCCAAGGGGTCTGCTAACAAGCGTTTGCAAAGACCAGGTTGGAAGGGTGTCTGGGCCTTGCATCCTGCCCTGGGATGCTGGACGGGCCCCAGCGACTCTTAGAAAGTACACTCACAGTCCTGGAAGGTCCATGGAGGTCAGAGGAACAGAAAGAGCTTCTCAAGGTATCTGCTAGCCATGGAGAGTAGGCGGTGGCTCTGTCTGCAGGCAGGACCCGTGTCCCGCCCCCACTCCCAGCCAGTGGCAGTAAAAAAATAAAAAACATTCCAGTCTGCCTTTGCCAGTAGCTAAGGGAGCTCAGCTGCCATCTGTAGTGTACTGCCAAGGGCGTGGGCACCACACACCACAGGCTCCACCTGCAGAGACGGCAGTCGTGCCCTGAGACCACGCCAGGCCCGTGCACTCCCAGGTCACGGCCAGCACCAGCCGTTAGTCCCTGATGCCAGCACGGAGGCAGGCACTGCTGCCCCGTGGTGCTGCAGGCCTGCGACACGCCTCCTTGACACATTCCGACAGCCTGCTGGACACCGTCCCTGTGCCCCTGAAGCTGGCTGCACATCTGCACAGGTGAACAATGAGGCATCTCAGAGGACGAACAAGGGTCAAGGGTCAAGCCTGAGTGAAGACAGGTAGGCCAGGGCCAGCGGACACCTGATCTGAAGAGAAACCTGTGCCACCGCTCCCGTCCACCCGTACCCAGGACAGCACCGGTCAACCAGGCACCCAGGCTGTGCACAGCACAGCCTCCGGTGCTGAGCTCTGCAATTCTCCAGTGGGTCCCGGACTTGAGGTGCTGCTGCTCCAGGACCCACAGGGCCATGGGTAAAGAGGCATATTCAGACACTAGAACCAGGGCTGACCTGTTCTCAGACTCGGCTGCACAGCGTGTGAACCCTCAGGGGCTGAATTAGATTTTCTCACAAACTGAAAGCAACTAACTTCAGGTTGCAGATGACACAGAAGAGCCTGCCCCTCCAGGCCGGTGCTCAGGCTGGGGCAGCACCACGCAGGCTCCCGAGGGCCTCCCGCCCCCACGTAGACCTGGCTGCAGCAGCCTCTTGTTTTCTCAGCACACATCCATAAAGAAAAAGGGCAACTGGCCCCACCTAGCTCTGTGAGCCCCGCTCAGCAACATGCAGTTGGGTGCTGCAGCTCTTATAGAAAGCAAGCCTCTGGCTGAGAACAAAGCCCTCACCTCCAGCTTGACCCCGCTCTCCACGGTCTGGACATTGGACCAAGGTGCTCCGAAGCCAGGCGGCTCCGGGCCCCAGCCGCTCCTGTGGCCTGGGACACCCTTGGTCAGAGCCCCAGATCAGCCTGAGGGCCCGCAGGCCTGAGGGTTCCTGCAAAGGCCATTCCAGAGCTGCCCCGCAAGCAAAGGCGCCAAGCCCCAGAGGACTGCGTGTGAGGGACCACCACCTGTGGCTGGCAGACGTCCACAGGCTGCTCCGGAGGCAGCCCTGACTACACACTCTGCCTGCTGGAAGACTTCACGTGGTGCCCAGGGATGAGGAAGGGAGGGAGGCGGGACCGGCCTGCACCAGACGCGGTACGGGCCACCCTGCCGGCCAGTGGGTGGGCTCGCAGATACATCTTCCCAATTTCTCATTCCCATCCCTCTAAACACGACCCTGCTCCCAAGCCTTTATCCCTTTGACAACTTCAGCAGGAAAACATGCAGAATCTCTGATAGCATGAAATTGGGAACAAAGGCCCCTGACAAAGGGGTGAGGAGTGGCTGCGGCGGCCGAATCTCAGGAACATCTGGAAGGAGATGCTTACAGAGAAACGGTCCTTAGAGAACGTCTTTGGCATTTTACAAAGAGGTACTGAAGCAGGCAGCAGGCTGTCCACGATGAATCCTGGCAGGGAACAGAACCAGCATCATGAATTCCAACGATGCCCAGTTCTCAGGTCCATCTTGGACTCCATGGCAGGGAGGAGAGCTTGAACAGTGCGTCCAGCACCACTGTCTCCTCTCCCATTTGCAGATACTTCTTGCTCTACAGGGCTATAATTTGCTGAAATCTGAGCCACAGGCTCCAAGAGACATCAGTGAACAGCAGTGAGTAGACAGCCAGCCACAGGTGGGACACTGGCTGAAACCAGACAGCGTTGAAGGCGGTTGGGTCTCAGTTGCTGTTGGCTACGTGAAGCTGGGAGGGGGTCCTGGCCTGCACTGCCTCTGGGAGGTGGAGCAGCCACAGGACTGGACGTGGGCAAGAGCTGGGCTCCGAGGAGGCCGTGCAGCTTGGTGAAGTACTCGTCGGACATGGCATGGACACAGGGTGTGAACACAGAGAAGCGGACTCAGAGACACTTGTGCACGCTCGTGCAGCAGGGCTCCCCCACCTGGATCCACCATCAGTCACATATCAGCTGCCCACATCCTCACCCATCTGAGGCCCAACATCCAGAATGCCAGCATGGATACAGGCCACGGGCCGCTGTGCCCAGCGTGGTCACTTGGGAGAGGGCTTTTCCAGCAAAGGGGGCCCCAGGAATTGGGCCAACTTCTACCAATGCACTGAGGCCCGTGGCTTCCGACCGCACGGCTTTGGTACAGAGGGCAGGCACGCTGCAGAACTGAAGTCAGTCATGGGAACAGGCATGCAGAGCGCATGGCAGGGCCCACACCAGACACCTTCATTTGGGGGCACCTCTGGCAGTGAGCAGTGCTGGTTCCCTGTACAGGGATGCTGTCTTTCTGATTCTGACAGCCGGGAGCCCCATGAAGTATGAACTTGCGCTGTGTTGACCCAGTAATCAAGGAAACACGGCCCACAGAGC